CTGCACACAGACCCTGTGGTGTTGGAGAGTCCATTTGACCTCACTGGAGAGCCTCCTGTCTGAACCCCAGGAACTGCTCAGCATGGGGTACATCTGCAGATAGACAGGTTTTTCTGTGGAAATACACAACTGAACTTGTAAATCCGAAGGCAGGAATCACCTCTTAGGCAAAGCCAACAGAAACTACCACTGCCATAATCCAGTGGGTAATTCATTGATTCCCAAGTATCAACACAAGCTTTACAATAAGGGCTCTACCTGATCAGTCAATGCACTTGTGGGTGGGGCCTACAAAGGCTGCTCACCTGGTCTGTCAGTGAACGACATCATATTAATGATATTTTCTAATTTCAAGGCAAAAAAACAAAACAAAACACACACACAAAAGTTGTGCTTGGCTTATCTAAGTGAAATTAAACGTTTGATATATAATACAGAGTTCAGTCTTGATTTTTAGTACCAGAAAATACTATCTGAAGAGTCACTCAAAAGCACCATCAGCACACGTCATACCTGTCCTCTGAGGCTACTTTATTCAGCTGTATGAATTAATTCTTGCAGTTTTTCTCTTATTACATAGACATATATTCAAGTTTAGGCTCTTCTGTGAATAGAACCTTTCTTTATTCCAGTGTTTCATTCCATTGTTTGTCTTCTAAGTTACAATCTCCTTATTTCACAATGTTTTAACTACGTTGGCTGCAAATGTTAACAGAATAACTAGCGATTTGGGGGCCAACTAGGAAGGCTTTAAAAAGATTTGATTAGGCAATTCATTTTAGTAATGTTATAACATGTTCACTTGATTATTTTAAATGAGTGTTGGTGCATACCCACTTTGGCAAAATACTGAGAAGTTTAATTGTGTCTCCTAAATAACAAGCTTTCAAGGGCAGAAACATGTGGGCTAAGGAATACAAACAGGATTCAAGAAAACAAAGGCCATGTTTACCTGGCAAAATTTACCACAATAGCTTTCCTGGGGTGAAGTTCAAGCCAGTATCCTGAAATCAAAGTGATTTCAAAGTGATCCTGAACAGCATCAGAGATGAACACAGATCTGTGGATCTGCTTTCTTGCATCCCTATTTTCAGCCCACTATTGCCCACTAGCTGCTCCAATAAGATGACTTCTGAACTCCCTGCTCCAGAACTAGGAGAACTAGGAGAAATGCTGTCAGGTCTCACAGACACAGCATGAACTACAACTACAGTTAGCAGTAATGCTGTGCAACTTGCATTAATATTCCATTGTCTCTGTCAAATCCCAAGCTATCTCCAGTCTCCTAAACAGAAATACTCCCAACCATACTCCATTTTATGTGAAAACCTTTAATGTGCAGACCACTTTAAAGTCTTATCTTTCTCCACCCTACATTATCTTATGTCTTAGATGGGAGATGGATCCATCTCCTCTGAGAGAGAATACATGTATCTTGATTTGATTCCATTAGGAGGTAGGTTAAGACTGAGACAGAAGATAACCTCAAGTCTAACAGAGGTCCTTAATTACAGCTGAAAATAAAGAGGGTAAGAGATAGAAATTTTAAAAGTTCCAAATCCCCTGTCAGGGGAATCTGTGCAAACTTTCAAAAAACTGCATTCAACTTTGTTTTGAACACTTGCAGGGATATATCATCCACAATTTCTCTGGGAAACCTGTCCCAGTGCCTCACCACCCTCAGAGCAAAGTGTTTCTTTCCTGTCTTTGCTCATCTAAACCTGCCCTCAGTCAGTTTGAAGCCTATCACTCCATGTCCTTGTCCAAAGTCCCTCATCAGCTCTCTTGTAGCACCTTTAGATACTGGAAGGTGCTCCAAGGTCCCCCAGAGCATTCTCTTCTCCCAGCTGAACAACTCTTTAACTCTGTTTTCATGGGAGTGGAGCTCCACCCCTCTGAGCATCTTTGTGGCTCCTTTGGACTTGCTCCAGTGGAACATCTATCTTGTGCTGAGCCCCCCAGAGCTTGATGCAGATATCCAGACGGGGTCTCACCACAGTAGACCAGAGGGGAAGAACCAACCACCTTGACTTGCTGGTCATGCTTTTGATACACGCCAGGATATAGTTGTCTTTCTGGGCTGGAAACACACACTGGCAGGCCATGTTGAGTTTTTTGTCAATCAACAGCTGTGTATCATTCTTCTCAGAGCTGCTGCCAATTGACTGCCTACACAGGCTGTACTTGTGCTTGGGATGGCCCTGACCCATGTTGACTTAGACTTGCGGAATTTCATGGGGTCCATTTCTCTTCTGCAGGCTCACTTCTCAAAATCCCTCTGGGTGACATCCCTTCTTACCAATGTGCCGGCTGCAACACACAGCTTGGTGCTGTTGACAAACTTGCTGAGGGTGCACTCAAACTCATTGTCCATGCCACCAGCAAGATGCCACAAGATATTAAACTATGATACCTCCATGCAACCAAATCCTTGAGACATGGATGAAAGACCCTGAAGTGGGACCCACAAAGTACCTTTTGCCACAAGAAAGAACAATGGCTTTTTCTGTATTAAAATATTTAATAATTTTTTTTTTTAAAAAAAATTAATTATTAAAGTATATTAATTCATTTTTGTAATCAAAAGTGAATAAATGATGGCAAACATTTTAATTCTTTAATAATTCTTTAATCAAAAGCTTTAACAACTCTATCTGGAAATACAAGTAATTTTTCCAGTTTGTTGATCATTTATTTTGTCTCTAGTGATTCTAAGGGAAAAGCAAGCAAGAGACTGTGAGATAATTGCAGTAGAAACTGCTCACCAACTAGGATTGCCTGTAAAACTCAGTGTACTGAATGGCTGAATATCAAACCCTTTTTAGAAAAGCTGGCTGAAGAGACGTGACCATGAGGCAGTTATTTCTGAACTTATTTTTAGTGCAAACAGTGATAAAAGATGGGCTTCCAAGCACAGAAGTGAGTCTTTCTACTGCAAAAGGTTTATTTTAAAAGATCTGTCATTGTTCTGATTGCTCTCATTGTCATTCATTGAAATACCAAGGGCAATGCTGCCAGGATTTGAGAGTGGGCTCTTTCAGTACCGCAATTCTCAAAAGAGTGAAATAAAATCTCTCACATTAAACAATAATGCTCCTGCATCTAGTAATATTTAATAAATTTATTACATATTATCCTAATGCATGTTTATACCGTTGCTCATATAAGGACACTGTACAAATTGTTTGCTTGTTTTTTTGTAAATGTCTTACAGTTGAGATGATTACAAGAAGTATAAGCAAAACCATGTGAGCAAACTGATAATTCAGGAGCAGTCACTTGAAGTTATACTATTTTAAACTATATTTATATTACAATGAACTGGAAATTGTTATCTTACATTAAATCATTACCAAAAATCTCTGTTGAGAACATCTAAAATATTAGTGATCTCAATTTATCTCAATGTATGCACTAAAAACAAACACCCAACTTTTACTGGCTGAAATCCTACTCCATTTAAACTAATTCTTCTACAGCTTCAGTGCAGCTTGGTAATTCATTAAGTGATGCAGAAACATTAAGGCCACTATGACCTGTCTTCAACAGAAATGTAAAATCAAGACTTATTATTTACAGCTTTAATGAAGCATCAGTCTGATTTTTAAGTAACATCTAGGATTTCTTTTATAGAATACCTTTTAGGTGAATAAAAAGAAAGGGAAAAGATACTCTAATGGATGACTTTCACTGTTGGCCAGTGGACAGTAAATACTGACCAGTTGCTATCCAAGCCCTTATTTACCTGACTAAAATGGCCATTATAACATGCACTCTTTCACAAGAGCAACAGAGACATCACAGATTGGAAGTGTATCTTCTTTCAAAGAATTCCACTCCTGAACAATATTTTTCTTTTAAACTCCCCTAAAAGAGTAAAAGGTTGCTAAATGAATGTTGAATCTATGAAAATTTTACTAATATACTGTTTTCCAAAGCATGAAAGAACAATGTTGGTTCTATTGCATGTGTCACTACAGAGCTGAGGATCTGCATGGTGAGATCCCAAACATAGCAGAAATGTAATTAAAATCTCTGGTTGTTGTGAGCTCTCAAAGTAGTGCTATAAATACACTGTAGTAAACTCAGTTTCATCTGCAAGGTTAGGTCTCACTAACAACCTCACAAATGCAGACAGATACGAAACTAACTTGCCAAATGAACAACTGCATCCCAAAGAGCAAGGTCAAATATTGTTTCAGCTTTTAAATTAATATTGTATAAGCTGTGTCTTCCTTTGAACTTGGGTTTTGTATTCTACAGAAATATGCTACCTACAGCTTTTAGGAAACCTGATAATCAAGCATGAAAGTTCAGTAACTGCTTTATGTATTTTAGATTACTTTCCTACAGAGACTGGAGATTTTCCTTGAACATTGATGACTACATCTATTTTCTGGAATTATTACACATTTAACTAAAGTCTCTGTATTATTTCACGTGCTTCTTGTGATTTATGATTCAATAATCAAAAAGCATAGCTGAGTATACGCAAAACAACAGAAAACTCACATCAACATTCCTTGATGCTGCAAATCACTTGCTATGTAAACTAGACTTCCACTGATCAGCATTCAGGAAAGTGGCTCATTTATTTTAACTGTAACTTTCATTAACGTGCTTCTTTAAAACATTATTGCCTACATAGAGTTAAGATATTTATTCAAGGACATATGATAAATTTCCCAGTTCTTGCTATATCACTATTAATTTTCTTAGACTCCTACATATAATGCCACTAATTACTTAAACAGAAAGGAAGACTAGAAAAATTCAAGCAACAAGTAGACAAGAGATCTCAAGTACCACAAAGAAAAAAAAAATAAAAAAAAAAATAAAAATTAAGGGTAGCTACATAAAATAGCATCAGCCATACACTTTCAGTCACATCTTGCTGTAGAAGGGTTAAAATACCATCGGAACCAAATGCATTTTTAAATGAACAAGCTGCTCCTGGGCATAAACATGTACACTGGTTTATTGCAAACAAACGGGTGTACCTGCAGAGACACGGGGACAGTCTGGCAGCATGGACTCCACTGATGTGTCCAGGGGCTCGGAGCTGGATACCCAGTTACAGCAGTTCTGTAAAAGCAGGCAGGCAATTCTTGGTATAAGCCAAAAACTCAGAGCAAAAATAAATACAGATGTTGTAAGTGAAGACAATGATCACATCAAAATACTCAAGCTAATTCATACAGCAATCACAATAACAACTGACACTACACTACACTAAATTACACTTACTGATGATGAAATACTGTAATTTCATACTAAGTAAGCAAGAACATTCAGCAGATTTGTAATGTGCTTAAGTATCAAGTATTAAGTATCAAGTAAGTATACTTAAGTATTTTTAAGTGCTACTTTGAGTGCCAGTGGACTTCAGTAGGTGCTTGGACCAACTAGTGCCTGAACTACACACCCCAGGTTTAAAGATTTTCTGAGCTGGTGTTAATATAAACAGGTGCTTCTATAAACACTGAGCCTATTTGTTTGCTAACAGTAAGAAATCAGAATTTTTCAGGGTGTTTTGATGGGTGTACACTGTGGAAAGAACATCTGGGAAAATATGAAACAACATATTTTAACTAAACAGAAACCACCAAGATAGCAGATTAATATTCAAATAATTGGAAATACAGCTGAGATGAATATGTGTGAACATTAAAAGAAGGCAAATTCTGGGGAATTATATTCAGGAAGCCTTTACATTCACCTTTCATTCCTGAACCTCTGAGTAGGATGAATTTACCATGAATTTTCTAAATGTTTTGCTACAAATGCTATCTATTCATAGTAGTCTATAAATTGAAGTATTAAATAAAATGCTTTCAATAAAATATGATGAAACAACACCAAATCTACTGAATTGAAGATTTAATTATAAAGCAACTACCTTTTTAATAAGATCACCAGCTGAACAAGATCTACATTGCCTGCTCTATTAAAAATCTGAGTTTTTCCTTTCTGAAAACCAGATTAACTTATTTAAGTGGAAAAGGTAAAAAAACCCCACAACTTTTTGGAAAGACCCAATCAATTTTCAGACAGATTTCTAAAAAAATAATACCATTAGTTCATGATAGTAAAAATGTACAAATTCTCTTCTGGTAAACAGCATGTATTGTATATTTGTAGATGCTTGCTGCCCTAGTTGTGCACCATGGAGTCCGTCCTCACTGTGGAAAGATCCTTGACTGGTAGATCAAGTATCTTATTGTATTTCCTTAATTCATTCTGTCTGGAAGAAGATGTCAGCTGTGTTGCAGTGAGGAGAGAATTTCAAAGGCTTCAGTCCCCACCAATAAAGGGCGAGGAATGGCTTTTGAATAGATTTGTCAAGGCAACCCTACTGTTCTGGGACCAGGGAGAGCAGGGACAACATAAAGGAAGGGTTGCTGTATGAGATTAGAAAGTGAAGTTCACAAAGCATGGCAGATTTTTGTAAGAAACACTAGATCAATGAAACTATTGAACTCAATGGAAAAAGAAAAAAACAAACACACTATCCAGTAATATAACATATTTAGTAAAAAATTGTTAAAATGGAAGTATTTCATGAAGGTTTTAAGGTTTAGAGTAGTAAAGCATTATAATTTTATGATTTGCATGTGTAATTTTAATTAACAGCTGAATGTGAAATTGCAAATGTAAGGTGGTAGAAATTACAAAAGAAGTAGAATTTTTATGAAGTATTACAATCATTTGAAATAAGTAAAATTAATATTAACTACTGATAGAACACTACATCAGAGAGCTGGAGATAATACAGAAGATTAGCACACAATTAACTAGCTTTTATATACAGTGTGACACTTGCCTGTAAGAAATAAGTATTCTCGAAAGCAGTGTCAAGATATGTAAATGGATGATTTGTTTTATCATTCATCACAGCTCCTAATAAATTCAAAAATCATGACATCTATAGGTACTAAAAATAGGCCACCAGTGATACAGGAGAGATAGCTCCAATGAAGAATTACTTTATTTTAACAATTCATTCTTTCAATGACAGCAATTAGCCCTACAGACAGGCAGCGATTAGGTGTATATTTTAATTATTATTCATTTTACCACTAGCCTTAAACCTGATTAAAGTAAGAGATATCCAGGTGATATGCTAGTCTTAATACCACTCAGCCACATTTCACATATGTAAAATTCTTCTTTCTTATAGGAGATTTTTAATGCTAATGTAAGTTATGACACTCCATCCACTTTTTAGGCCATTAATCATTTAACTTATTCTTTAACATCTACTTTCTGCAAATGAAATTAAAGGTAATGCACTTTTCTTATTCAGACTAAATGCTTAAAGAAAAATGGAGTTGTCAGATTCAAATTACAGGATTTAAAATTTCAGTTTTACTACATAGCACATATTTTAAGGTTTTGATTTCCCATAAAGAAAATGGGGATTTCTCTGACAGAGCCTGTAGGGGTTACCATTCTTTATATTTTTAACTCTTAAGTCAGACTTGTCAGGCTGCATCCCAGGTGTTCCTCTATTCCCATCAGTGTGGCCTATGAAACTTTAAGGTTAAGTCAGGAATAGGCACTGTATACACTAAGTTTCACTAAATCCATGAGAAAAAGTATCACAGAAAGTTCAGGATGTGACTAGTTTAAATTCACTTTGTGCACCTATTGTTTTAAGTGTTCTGCCATGGGAATGCAGAAAACAGAGATGAGCTTGATCTGGTGAGGGAGACACTCATAAACAGTAGTTTAGCTGGTCTCACTCTAAAAACGTGATTTTTAAAATCTCAGCAATCCCATACCTAAGTATAAGAGCTTCCGAGTGCTACAGGAGTAATTACATATCAAAAAGCTGCTGAGAGAAAGGATATTTTGCCAGTTGTGCAAATCATCAAACTGAGTCAAGAAGAGCTTAAAGGGGATTTTCCACCATTGCCAGATCAAACCAGCAGCACGGGGTGCACCCAGGACTCTGCTGGAGGTTATCAGGCACTGCATGGGCTGCCTTGGCATGTCTGTATTTTGCTGAGCATCAGGAAGAAACACTGAACTTTGTGCGTAGTATTTTGACTGCTAGCTGGTTTTAATCTTGGTTATTTTTGTGGCTGGTATGGATACATGATTTCCACTCTTCTGTATTATGCTGTCTTTCACACCCAGACACGCTTATTCAGCCATATACAGATGTATATACTCAAATTATTTTTAAGAAAAGGCCTTACCTCTCGCATCCACTCTCGAATAGTTTTCCCAACTTCTTGATGCCACACATTGTGAACTGAGTCTGTCAACGCCACAGCAGTTACCCTATTCTTTACTTCTGCCTCTCGTTGAATCATCTGTTAAAAAAGATTGTATTTAAATTAATTCCTTTTACTGAATAGAGTCTGCTTAGTCAGAGATAATGATCTTAAATTTAAAAAGAAACAGCAATACAGATTCAATACTTGACTTCACTTGTTTTAAAGTTTATACAATTCTTAACAGGTCCAGAAAAATAGAAACACCTAATATTTTTGATAAAAAAATGATACTAACTTTTAACTGACTGAACTATTCAGTCCTATTATTTTCCATGTGGCTTGACAATTCTAGGATTAAAGGTATCATAGTGAAAAAATGGAAGATTCCCTGAGGACACCTTTTACAAGCTTCTCCAAGTTCCTATTTCAGTTCTTCAGGGAAGCTGGTACCTGTGGTTCACTGTAAGGTTCTCATGACTATCATCTACTAATTTTCAGTAGATTGCTGTAGTTTTTCTGATGTACAATCTCACTTTGACTTGTATAGGTTTTTTTTTTTCTATCCAATTTAGCTATCTTGCACGCTCACCATGGTCCCAAAATTCTTCTCTCTTCTCTCTTATTCATATGCTTACTCAGCTAACACCAAAGCCTCTCAACATTTTTATAATATTAAAGAGCCTCTGTTGTTGCAAATGACAGTATGACTAAATAATATCAGTTCTAAAACAAATTAAATGATTGCTGCAAGTAACACAAGCAAACTGACAAAGATGTTGTGGAATTCAGCACTACTATGCAAGATAAAAGGTATTGGGAAAGAATAGCTTGATATCAAAGAGAGACAAAAAGGTTTTAATCTCCTGACATGAGTGATCCTAATTTGTAACACTGGATCAAAGAAAGCATAAGAAATTATACTTATAAAACCAGCATTTCAGAACTGGTGTCATTATCACTGTGTATGCTGCAATAAAGTTAATGGTTTTTTAAGCTTCCCTTTGTATAAATGTAACACATACCACATTGCTAAAATCAGGTATTCTTTCTTCACGCTCTAGTAACTGCTTATCAGTACACAGGCTGCACCTCTAAACCCATTCTCCACGTCCTTGCCATAAGAATGACTCCAAAAACCTACCAGAAGAAAAGTTTTTTGAAAGAGACAGTATCTAAAAACAAGACCTGTCAGCCACACACACCTAATTCACTTTAAACCCTGCTGTACATTGAATAAGTGTTTTAAACACACCTTATGCACTAATATTCCTGTTCCAGTGCATTCTAGCACTCATTTGGCTGCACTGTCTTCCACAAAACACTGTGATTAAACTGGCAAAGGTGCAGAAATATCACTGTCCCTGAAGCCCACATACCTACCAATTACTCAGAGTTATTACATGCTGGGTGAAGTTTCAAATCATCACCAGCTCAGAGTATTCCAGCATGACTTCCTCCATGAAGGGCTGGTATTCAGAAGCACTTCTAATGACCAGCAAAGATAAAAAATATGCTCTGCTTTGGAAAAGCAGTTTTTTCTCAAGCTACTGTGTCCCATGTTTCTGTTTCGAAAACTAGCCACCCAGTTCATCTTAGAACATCACCTTTTTCTTCAAATCACAAGAAAATACAAAGGTGCAGTTCCCTTTTTCTTTTCCAGACCTAGCTCAGGTTTGCTATTCTCAATTTCCCTATGCACATGTAAGAACTGGCAGCCATTGATCACCATTTCTTTCTACTCTTTCTTCATATAGTACATACAGTCTTTGCTTTTCAGATCATATATGATATATAGGAAATAATATGCAATACCCAACATGCTCCTGGTGCTTGCCATTCAGCTTTGTGGATGCCTGCAGAATCGTATTCTCTTCACAAAGATCAGCAAAGTGACTGAGGCTGACAATGTGATGTTTTTTGATAACTCAGCTACAGTGCTAGGGTTAGGATAAGGTCTCATGGATGCAGCAGCAAAGAGGGATCAAAGGGATTAACTGAGCTTCACTTACAGATTTCTTAACATCCAGCCCAGAAGAAAAAAGTTTTGGTAGGCATCCATGCCCTTCTGAGCCAACTTAGAAAGAAGAAGACAAAAACAATACATCAAGTGGGGAAAGAATCAAGGGTATAACCTTCACTTAAACAAGAAGTCTAACATGTCCATGTTTCAGTGACACAGAAATGTCACAACAGAGCATGTCAAACTGAGGACACTTGCTTCTATCAGAGCAGCTCAAGTTTCCTGCTACAATGGGACATTCACTGATAATAATAATCAAGGGGAACAGATCCAGGTTAAGTTCAAGCAGCAGACTCTCTTATCAGGGATGGCAATTTACCCTGCAAGAAGATACAAGAATTCTATGTGCTTTTGGGCACAGACACTTCAATACTCAGTAAATGCTTCCAATTCAATGGATTGATAGCTCACATTTAGAACATACTCCTCTTTTCTAAAACCACGTCTGAATTAAGATAAATTTTAAAAATTAAATGAGTGGAATGAAATTGTAAAAGTAAAATGGATTGACTTTAAACAAAATGTAGTACCCAGCTACCATTCAAATTTGCTATAACTCAGAAGTTGTTTTAGATTCCAAGGGAAGGATACTATGGGATGCATGGTTTGCATTTCCCAGGACTTGTTTTATTCCGTGCAGCCTATAGAGTATTTTGAGGTGGACACACTAAAACTGAGGATATTTAATAGACCACAGCCTACTAAAAATCAAAAAAATTGACACTTTTTTTCAGAATAATGATTTTTTTTTTACTGAAGCAAACAAAGGCCTAAGAAATCTAAATGTCTAAAGTTCATTTATGCCTTATAATCTTTTTGCATTAGTAAATTCCACAGACAGAAAGTTTTCACATCTTAGGAATTACTTAATTTTCTGCTCAACGCCCATTTAAAATTTTAAATTATTTTTAGCTGACTAGATTTTGCAGGAAGACATCTCTCTGCGAACCTTATTACCGGATGGCTTACTCTCCCCCCTTACACTCCTTCTTGCAGTAATTCATTTACAACCAGAAGTAGGTAAACTGGCATTTCCCTATTACATAAACAGGCTCTCATGTATTACTGCATCACTCATGACTCTGGGTCCTCTACACTTTCCTAATAATCTTCTCTCTTCAGGCATTTCCATTTTATCTTTTTTCTTGTGTTCCTTTTTTGTGGTCATAGTAAAGTTTGCTTTTGTAACTTATTAACTGAATACCAGGACTATATATTTGATTCTTTTAGAATGGCAAGCCATAGGCCAGTTTTCCTTGCAACACGTTAGAAAGCATTCAAGCATCCTTTCGAAAGTCCTCTTTATCCCAGTGGATGAAAATTTGTTCCTTCACTTTGAAGGGAAAATGTCAATTTTCTAGTTGCAGAAGTACTCGGCTCTAACAGTTACGTAAGTAAGAACTTGAAAATCCCTAAAAATGCATTACTTAAATTCATACATAATAATTACTCATTTGTTGCTCAGCTTAATAAGTATTCTAATCTGTAATCTTAATAAGTATGCTAATCTGTAAGTTTATATTGCACAGTTATCGTCAAAAGGTTGATACCTGTATCATCTGTAGTGTGTGTAAATAAAATGTAGCTTCATATATACAATACATATGCAGTGTATTTAGCATGCACATATACTCATAATAGATGATAAAATATGCCTTTGGTATGTATTTCATAGCATAATACTCCTGTCAAATGAAAGCATCAGTGTGTTAAAAGAGGACTCAAAGGTCTGATTTTGCCAACATGAAAATCCATGAAAGTACCAATTAGACTTTAGGTAAATGGCCTGTGAGACTAAATCCTAGAAACACTGATTGCATACTCTTTATACCTATTCTAACATTTAAAGCAGGTAAAAAAGCAAACTTCTGAGAAAAGTTAAAGTAAGTTTAAATATTTATTTATTTATTTTTTACAGGCTTTTCTTTTTCATCCAGGTTCATACAATCTTATCAAAAAACATTACTTCATATTCAGGGAATATTTACTCTTCTGAGTTGTTTGTAATTAGGAACAAGGAAAAAGAGATTTTAAAATTAATTAAAAACACATCCAAATTGTGATTTGTCTTGAAGTTTTGAAATAAACCTTCCAGCTACTTTTTTCGTCTTTCCCAGAGTAGTGGCATGGTGTTTACATGGTATGCACTGGGCTTCAATGGGCATGTTGACAACAAGCAATTGACTTGGAGCAAAATAATTTTGATGCAAGTCCTTCTCTGTATCCAGTTGAATCATACTGCTTTGAGATGCTTAAGACATTTTTGCATTTTCAAGAATTCTTTACAGAGAAAACCACTGGAAGCCCCTGTCCAAAAGTCCTCACTGGTTTCCAGAAGTGGAATGAATTTTCAGTAGAAATTCTGGTGGATCAAAACAGCATCAGCTGGACACTGAAATACTTGTAAATGCAGTGGTAGATGGTAAGAGTGAACAAATCACATGATAGCAGTAGTGTGTAAGAGGGCAATTTTTACTTCCTTTTGGAAAGGCTTGTGGATTCCTTTTTGATAATTTCATACACTCTCCTTGTAAACTTGCTTGTTACCAGTCTACAGTCAGCCAGCATCCTCTTCAACCATCATTTCACTCAGTCTCATACAAACCAATTAACTGGTCTGTCTGCCTGGCAGCACTTGAGCCTCTTCTCAGTTACGAAAAACTCCTCTTCATCAGGAAGTATGTAATTCTGTATGCTGTAGTACAAATTTGTTGGTCTGGCATTCCTAAAACCTTTTTCTGATTCCTGAATAGAACTCTTGAATTTCTGAAATACTCTCAGTTTTCTGCATGTTTTGAAATGGAATTAGATTCCCAAGCCCTTATATAATATTATTCATTAGGAATTAGAATTGCTGGGCAACTATGCTCGAACAGCACAAAGCAAAAATAATAAACAATCCAAAGTTTTACCAGTTCTCATTTTCAATTAAGAACACCAATCATCTTCCCTAAATGAATATGCAGATGTGAAAAATCCCTACTTGCAGTAGACAAAGCCCCTGATACACATCAGTTTTTAAATAGCATAAGAAAATACCTTCAAAGATACTATTAGAGAATGACCATAGTACCTG